AGCTATTTGGCTGAAACCTTCTAGCAACCTTTTCTGGGAAATGAGGCAACCTCACATAAGGGTGTTCCTTGGACACCAGAAGCGGCATAGAAGTGTGTGTGTGTGTGTAGATTAGTTTTTATCAAGCATGTCCAGTATTTCTGTTGAAAACTTCTGGAAACCCTATGATGATATTGGTGCCGTGAGAGAGCATTTTAACCCTTTCCCTGGCCTATTCGATGCAATAAAGATTTTATTATTTGTACGTTATCCGTGTATTGTCATTTTAGATCTTGGCTGCTGGCTGCACACATTCCCTCCGTTTGTTCCTCCTCCTCAGAAGATTAAGAAATTGGGGTCCCTCCTTCCCTGCTGTAACTTTCAACCCTTGATTTACAACATGTTCCCAGGGAGAAAGGGCCAATTACCCATATGCTCAGGAGGTGGCTTCCCACTAAGGCCTGAGCTGCAACGCCAGATCTGCCCGGCCACCGCTGGCGAAACCAGAGCTGCTGCTTCTTTTTATGTGGATGGCTCACAGAGCGAGAGAGAAAGAGAGACGCATAAACACACACACACACACACCGTGATAGGCAGCCGCGATCAGAGGCGGGCAGCAGAGCCACCTTCTTCTGTAGCCGGGAGATAAGGCAGGACTCCAGTCCAGGGTGAGACGTCTGAGAGCAACTGCGTTGATTCCCCGCCTAGAAGCTTCAGTGGATCGGAGCGCGCAACTCGGGTGAGTCATTTTGGAAGGGGCTGTGTGTGCAAATATGAGGAGAGGGGCTGTGGCTAAGTAGTACAGCAGCATCTGCTTGAAGCAGGGGCGCTAGACTTTCCCATTACGCCCCCCCCCCTGGGCTGGAAGAACTGGGGGCCCCAGTGACATCAGAGCGAGGAGCCAGTGACATCACAGGCCATTGTCACTCTATGGAGGCGGAGCCATGTGGGATTTAGGGAGGGGCTACCCAGAAATGTTGGGGGGGGCTGGAACCCCCTCCCCCAGCAATGCCCCTGGGCCGGGCTAATAAACCCAGGACAAGGTGGGAGTTGGCCAGTGGTTCTAGCGGTCTCTTGCTGTGTCCTGTTTTTGGAATTCACTTTCAGAAGTCACTTTAAGATCTGCAGATATACATACTAGGGGCATAGGACAAAGGAATGGTCGCAAATTGGACAGTAAGAGAGGCGACACAGAGAAGCCTGTAGGGGAACATTTTAAAAGTTTTCCTGGACGTTTATTTACAGGAGTCTTGTTTCTGCCTTATTTATAAGGGTGACTTTGTACCGGAATTTACTGAATGGTGGCATCAGGGTTTGGTAAATGCCAGGCTGGAGTCTCTGAGCCAGGGCAGAATAGGAAGGGGTTGCTGCGCACTCAGTTTCTGAGCAATAAGAACATAAGAGAAGCCATGTTGGATCAGGCCAATGGCTCATCCAGTCCAACACTCTGTCACACAGGGGCCCAAAAGACCCGGTGACCTCAGCTGGTCCAGCAGTGGGGCCAGGACACTAGGAGCCCTCCCACTGTTGCCCACCCCCACTCCCAAGCACCAAGAAGACAGAGCACCACTTGCCCCAGACCCAGAGTTCCTATCTATACCTTAAGAACATAAGAGAAGCCAATGTTGGATCAGGCCAATGGCCCATCCAATCCAACACTCTGTCACACAGGGGCCAGAAATACCAGGGACCATCAGGAGTGGGGCCTGGACACTAGGAGCCCTCCCACTGTTCCCCCCCCCCAAGCACCAAGAATACAGAGCATCACTTGCCCCAGACCCAGAGTTCCTATCTATACCTTAAGAACATAAGAGAAGCCAATGTTGGATCAGGCCAGTGGCCCATCCAGTCCATCACACTATCCAACACTCTGTGTCACACAGTGGCCAAAAAGACCCGGTGACATCAGGAGGTCCAGCAGTGGGGCCAGGACCCTAGAAGCCCTCACACTATCGACCCCCTCCCCCAAGCACCAAGAATACAGAGCATCACTTGCCCCAGACTGAGAGTTCCTATCTATACCTTAAGAACATACGAGAAGCCAATGTTGGATCAGGCCAATGGCCCATCCCATCCAACACTCTGTCTCACAGGGGCTCAAAAGACCCGGTGACATCAGGTGGTGCAGCAGTGGGGCCAGGACACCAGGAGCCCTCCCACTATTGCCCCCCCCCAAGCACCAAGAATACAGAGCATCACTTGCCCCAGACTGAGAGTTCCTAT